TGTGTGTGTGTGTGTGTGTGTGTTGATGCTGTGACCCTGTGAGGACCATGTTCTCCTCCTGTTAACTTCTCTCTCTCTCTCTGTGTGTTTCCGTCTTCTCCTCCTCAGTCTCCACCTCACCACCTTCTGTCTGGAGTACAGACCCACAGTGGTGGCCTGCGTCTGCATCCATCTGGCCTGTAAATGGTCCAACTGGGAGATTCCCGTGTCCACGGATGGAAAACCCTGGTGGTTCCCAGCTTGATTTCTCTGTCTCGCCAATCTATACAACTCCTTTTCTCCTTCCTTTGTTTCCAAACTCTCGTACAACTCCTCATATGCCTTTTGTTTAGCCTTGGCCACTTCCCTTTTCACCTCCCTTGTCCTCTCTTTGTACTCCAGTCTGTTCTCTTCTGTTCTGTCACTGTCCCATCTCTTCTTCGCTAATCTCTTTCTCTGCACACTCTCCTGGATCTCATCATTCCACCACCAGGTCTCTTTGTCCTCCTTTCTCTGCCCAGAGGACATACCTGGCACCTTTCTACCTGTCTGGAGATTCCTGCCCTTCCTTCCTTCCTGAAGTCTTCACAACATTTTTCTTTCCTTAGTTTCCACCACTTGATCTTCTGTTCTGTCTTCACTCTCTTCCTTTTTGTCACCTCCATCGTCATTTTGCACACTACCATGCGATGTTGTTTGGCTACACTCTCGCCTGCCACTACCTTACAGTCTCTAATCTCCCTCAGATTACCTCTTCTACATAGAATATAATCTACTGTATCACCCTGTGTTCCTCTTTCTTTTGGAAATAGGTGTTTACCATGGCCATTCCAATTCTCTTTGCAAAATCTACCACTGCCTGTCCTTCCAAGTTTCTCTCCCTAACACCAAACCTACCTATCACTTCCTCATCTCCTCTGTTTCCTTCCCCTACATGACCATTAAAGTCTGCTCCAATCACCACTCTCTCTCCCGTAGGGATACTCTCTATCATCCAATCCAGCTCCTTCCAGAACTTCTCCTTTTCTTCCAACTCACAGCCCACCTGTGGGGCATAACCACTGACATAATTTATCACCACTCCTTCTATTTCTACCTTCACACACATCAACCTGTCTGACTCTTGTTTCACCTCTACCACATTTCTTACATATTCTTCCTTTAGGATCACCCCTACTCCATTTCTCTTCCCATCTGAACCATGATAAAACAGTTTGTAGCCTCCTTCAATGTTTCTAGCCTTACTGCCCTTCCACCTGGTCTCCTGCACACACAAAATATCTTCTCTTCTTCTCTCCATCACATCAGCTAGTTCTCTACTTTTCCCTGTAATTGTACCTACATTCAAAGTTCCAAACTTCAGACCAACACTTCTATCCTTCCTCTGTTCTCTTTTTGTCCGAATCAATCGTCCTCCTCTTCTTCTTTGTCTTCGACCAACAGTAGTCCAATTTCCACCAGTACCCTGTAGGTCAACAGTACTGTTGGCGGTCATTGTCATCCGGTATGGAAATCGTTTTAGTGATCATATTTGATTTGGCTAAAAGTTTTATACCGGATGCCCTTGCTGACGCAACACTCACCATTTATCCGGGCTTGGGACAGGCACTATAGTATTACTATAGTAGCACTGGCTTGGGTACCCTAGTGTACCCTAGGGGCTGGTTTTTACATAAAGTTTAAATATATATATATATATATAGAGGTATATATATACATGGTTTAAACATATTTAGAACATATATTCTTTAATACACCCACAGTATGCACATACTGTATGTATGTGTTTGTGTGTGTGCAAAATAAGCATGCACTCACTCAAACCAACACCTTGCAAGAGAGCTAGGGGAGCTGATTTCATTAGTGGTGGTGGGGCTCCAGCTGTAATGAGCCAGGTAATGCATATTTAATGAGGCATAAACAGATTTATAAACACACGTGCGCACACAACTAATTTTCTCCAGCTTGATTTTCACAGTCTGCTCAGCAATGCCAATATTCCTTTGACATGTTAACTCTATTAATGCTGCAGAGACTCAAGAATATGATAAAAAAAAAAACGTACAGGACATTGCGGGCTTTGCACACTGACGTCAAATATAGGGATAATTCTGGCACAAAAGTAGGTTTAAATTATTCTGGCTCAAACTTGCAAATCTCAAATTATTATTTAATATTACAATCCTTGTATTAAAAACGAACGTAGAACTGCACTATAAAGAGTGAAAAAGTTAATTGGTGAAAGAGTTAAAGGTTTTGTATTATCTTCTGGTTTTTCTTTTGAACTAATGAATTTGTACGTGTTAATGTGCTTTATCATTAAAAAAATCTAAAACTAGTAATATATTATTTCATTAGGTCAGAGTTACATCTGAACCTGCAAAGTAATCTTCACATGTGCTAAAGGCGAGCTAAACTCTTCTAAGCTTGTTATTTACAGAAGATAACTTAAAGTGCATAACTTACCTTAAAACCAAAGATTCTGATTTCAGCGAATGACCATCATGATAAACGCCTGGTTCCTGTAACATTCTGTCCTGGTTAAACTGTGCACCTGCTTGTTGAGTGCACGGCTCTTCAGTGAAACTTATTAAATCAGACGATGGCAACAGTTGTTCCCGTTGTTTTGGTATGTGTGGAGTCCAGTTTGTCTGTTGTTCATGCTCAGGGTCAGTTTCCTCCTCTTGCTCTTCCTCATAATTCTCCTCCTCCATTAAATCACCAGAAAACGGTAACCCAAGTCCTTTTTCATCAGAGATACCGGTTTCACTCAGAGGAGTTCCAGTCAAAGAGCTCGAGTGGGAGACAGAGCTGTTGGTGAGAACGGGAGATTGCGTTTCAGAAGTGTCCTGCCTCTCTAACTGACCTCCCCACTCTTGAAATGTCTTCAAAGATGTTGGGCATGTTGGTGGTGCAGAAGGAGACTGTCCACCCTCGTCTGAGTCCTCCATAGAAATTTGTGAATGCACATAAACTTCCTCTCTGGTTTTTAAAAAGTTATCAGATGGGTATCTCAGTGATGGCGACACACTTCTGCCTACAAGGCCGGACTTCTCTTCAAAGCCTTTTTCTTCAGTCTGTGTCTGACTGGTCTCTATGGAATGTGGTGGACTAAAGGCTTCTGTAGTGTTGTTTGTTTGGCTGTGACTGAGGAGTTCTGACTGTATGTCATCCTCAGTGGCAGGACTAACTGGACTTTCTGTGTTTCTGATCATGTGGTTTTGTGCAACTTGTTCAGTGTTCTCCTGGTCCTCCCTGTGTCTGGTCTGGACCTGGCTTTGCAGTGCTGTGGCAGCAAAGACAAGTGTGCTGAAAGTCTCCATAGTGGTCCTTGTTCCTTTACTTTGTTTGTCTCCTTGTTTGGGCCTGCTGTGCCATACCCTCTCAGCTTCTTTAACTGTACCAGACACAACAATGTAGTCCATTTCCAGGCCTGAAGACGAATCTCCATCAGAATTTGAACGCGCTTCGTCTCGACTTCCTGGGTGAAGGCTGTCAGGGCTAAATTTCAGAGTCTCTTTCTTTTGTTCAGAGCCTGGGCCTTGGTATACAGTTTCTATTGTTCTGACATCTTCATCTTTAATGCTTTCTTGATCAGGCCACAGTTGGGTTTCAGTGGTCATTACATCTTCTCTGTGGGTCACATTTATTGGCAAAACATCGGATGCTGAGCTTTTTATCCTCACATGTGATTGGGATGGTTGGTCAGTCTGGAGTTTGGTCTCTTCTTCAGACTCTTCTGGCCTTAAATGATAGTTGACCGTTGGAATCTCAAGGGAAATGTCCACCATGAAAAATGGAGAATCCGTTCCCACTGATTCTTCAATGCTTCTGTTGTCATATTCACTCTCCAATGAACTGCCTCTGATCCTGGTAATAGGATTAAACTCACTCAAACCCCCAAAATGAAACACTTGCTCTCCTGACTCTTCTTTTTTTAAAACTACAATATCAGAATTACCAGTAACTTCATGGTATTGATCTTTATTTTTATGAAATGGTTTGGTAACAGCTACAAAAGGGCTGGACAACCCTTCTATGTCTGCTGCAGGGCTACCATAGGTGTCAGGTGAGGATCCCAGGCTCCAAATACCGGCTCCCACATTGTCATATTCTGAGGTGGAGCTGACCATGCCAGGAGCAGGCAGTTCCCACATGTTGGTGCTTTCATCTGCAGTAGATTCATTTTCCAAACATTCAGATGCCAAGTTTTGCATAAAGGACTGTTGGTTCTGAGGTGTCTGGGTGTCATCATCTGATTCTTTACTGTGTGTACTTTCCTCTGCAGTCTCGATTACTATTTTCACATTGTGCTCCATACCTCTGCTCTCAAAGTCTTCAGGTGTTTCATCAATAGCTATAAACCCACCTTGCCTCTCTTCTGTAACCATTTCTTCATCCAACTGTTTGCCTGTATATGTCACCGAAGACTCGGTGGCCTCCAGTGATCCCATGTGACTGAGATCTTTTCCACTTTCAGGTCCTTCGGGGCTTGTTACAGTGGAAGAACTGTCTTCTTGTATAGTGGTGTTCCACATCTTCATTCCACCATCGGAGAATTCTTGAAGACTTTCCAAAGATGACCCTCCGACAACATTGTGGTTCACACCACAGAAGGAACCTGAGTTGTCAGATAAGTTGTCAGGGGTCGTAAGAGGTGACAGACTGTCATCTCGGATTGTCATGTTCCACATATCTAGTGAGTCTGGGTAAGACGTAGTGGTTCCGCTGTCAGATTTTAGAAATCCCTTCTGAGCCGAGTATGTCCAGAAGTCTATAAGTTCCACCTGTCTATCTTTTTTACCTTGAACTGCTTCATCATCTTCTTTAGAAGACTCTGGTGTTAAGGTTTTAGGGATTGCCTTCTTTCTCAACATCAACTGGGGATTTTCTTTTCTCTTTTCTCTCATTAAATCTGCCTTAAATTTTCCAGTTCCCTCCTCCTCTGGAGGTGTCAATTGTAGCTCAGACAATGTAACAGGGTTCCACTGATCCTGCAATTCTGAGTCTGAAATCCATGTTCCATATGATACAGACTGCTCAGTGACTAGACTTAGCTGAGGTTCTGGTCTTTTTTGCATTTTATGGATATTCTCTGTCTTTAAAATATCCTCCCTGGCTTCTCTTTCTGTCACAACATTGTGAGTCCTATTTGAGGCTTGATTATAACTTGGAGACAAGGCTCCTTGTGTGTCAAAGCCAAATTCATTGCATGTTTTGGAAAAGCATGGTACCTCACTTTCCTTATGTGGTAGGTCACTGATTCTTTCAAAACTGCTGGGTGGAGTGTCAATCAGACTTTTGATTGAAGTTGGAAGAACCACATTGTCGGTCATTTCACTCTCAAGGATTTGACCGTGGTGGTCGGTTAGAGAGCGACCACCTTCCAGTGTGTCAATTGATTTCTCAGAGAAATACAGCAGGCTCAGTTTTTCGAGTTCTGATAAGTTGGAAGTATCCATTCCTGTTTCTTCTTGACCTCCTCTTAAATCATCACATACAAGTTCTTTTTTTATAGACACAGTTTGATGATGCATTGGATCAAAACTTGAGAGGTTAAAGTTATCATTTGCATTTCTACTAGGGTGGTGTTTTTTCCTCTGAGGTGGAACAGGAGGAGTTTGAGATGACATTCCAAAGTTAGAGGGGTTTCTTATTAAGACTCCTCCTGTTGTTATCTCCCCAAGTGTACTGTCATCACTAAGGAGCACCGAACTCTCCTTGGACGAACGACTGCTGCGGATGGTTGTCATACCACTGTCAGGACTCACAAGCTCCACAACAGCACTGTTTTCTGTACCACCCGTGTCCTCCTCACCATCTCTCATCACCCTGGTTATGGAGATCAAAACAAAAAAACATTTTTTTAATTTTTCTTTTAAAAACACATTTTTCAGAATCAAATCCCAAATATGTGGAGCCAATACCTTGATATTGCTATTGCATCTGCACTGCTTTCATCTGCTCTGTCATTGTCAGAACCAAACATGTCAATGATACCAGATGAACCCTGGGAGAACTCCACATTGCCTGCTACGCCCTCAGTTGAGGATGTCCTGCTACTGGGGTGGCAT